GTCTTTCCCCAACTCCTATAAATGTGATTTTCTTAGCTAATCTTTTAGGTGGCGCCTTATCAGAGTTTTTTTTTTTTGAAAATTTATGTACCCCAAGTCCACATCCACCCCATTGTCCAGATAACAAGTAATATCGTCGCAAAAAAGTCAACAGATTAATAGGATAAGCTGGCCTTATTTTATGATACTATATTTCACTAGATGAGTTCTAAAGCTTCTTTTATCATACTCTCTAGAATGTTTCCTACAACAGATGTAAAATTAACTGGCTTACAATTCTCTGGGCAAATCTTACAACTACATTCAACAGTAGGAGGTAACATTACCAAATAAATGATCCTCAGGCACCTGCCCACTGACTGTTGATCGTTCAAATTAGTGTGACATTTTGATAATTAAAGATTTTTAACTATGTTATTATCAGTTGCCATTTGAAACTTATGTGCATTTTAAAACATTATTTAAATAATATTCCAGTCACAACATGAGTCATGATAGTGTGGTTGCTAAGTCGCTAGAATATTATTTTTTTTATTCCTGTAAACTTTCAGTGGAGCATGGGGCCGTAACAACACCTCACCAACGGAAAGTTGTTGTTGCAGTTACTTGTAGCAGGTTGGTTTTTACGGGGTGGAGTTGCTAGCCCTGCGCCCAACTCTCCTCCTTTCTCATCCTGGACTTGGGACCAGGCAAAGGCGGAGGTTGGCATGTTTGATGCGACGGGAATTCGAACCCGCGACCCTCAGATTACGAGTCGAGCGCCCTAAACACCTGGCCATGCCGGGCCTCCGCTAGAATATTAGTCATGTTTAATTGCTATGTCAAAAAAAGTGACTAATGATTTCCAATCGTTTTTGAGAAAACAGTTCATGCTAATGGTGCTGTTGCATAAAGATTCATGTTAATACTGTATGGTCATCAGAAAATGAGTTATTCTTATGTTACTGCAGGATCGTCAAAAGTGAATCATGTTTATGGCTTTTACCTGAAGGTGAATCATGTTAATTAAATTTTCACGAAGTCTTTATCCACGAAGTCTTTTACGTATTGGTTTGTTATTTTTGTTCGGTCCATGTTTTGATGTGGGAGTGAGATTCAGATGATATAACTAAACAAATCAGCATGATTCTATGTGGAGTATAATTAAACTTCCTACTTTACGACTTTGTAGCGCCTCCTCGTGATATTTCCGTCTAAGTCAACATTAGTCATCTTGAAGGTCATATTTACCAATGTTGTTAAACTGTGAGTGCTAACAAAATAGTGAAAAAAAAAACATGCAAATAAAACCAACACACAAAAGAAGAACGATCTTTCACTAAGCCAAATGCCAAGGCATAATTAGAGTGAGCATACATTTCAACTCCTGACCAGAGGGAAGGCAGCCAATCAACAGAATCCTATCACTTACAGTAAGAAACTGACTGTCACTCAAAGTGCGGGAAATGTGTTGTGGTGTCGTACGGATTCGAACCTGGCTATCCAACTCCGAAATCTAGAGCTGTACCACAGAACCAAACGCTGACACTATTGAAATCAACTTTGTTTTTGGCAAGGTCTTTATGTATTTATTTTTGTTTCTTATAAAGTAAAAGTTAAATTTTACTGTAAGCATTATGATTTTATCCACATCTCATTATCCCAACAATAAATAAGAAAGATAAGCCAAGAATAAACTGTATTTTATAAATCTGTTCTACGGCACCCAAACAACTTTCCTTATCGTGGGCTTAGTGCTTCATCTGGAGTTGAAGGGCCGATTACGGCCCAATGGTTTGCGTACGGTACTGTGGATCTGAGGTTCACGTCCTGTTGCCGCCGAAAAAATAATCGTGCAGCGTTCTTTGGGGCAGAAGGTGTGTTATAAATATGATGGCCAAATCCCACTATTAAGTCAGACAATAGCTGGCAATGGTTTGTGTTGACTGACTGACTGCCTTCTCTCTCGTCTATCACATCAAAATTATGGACGGTTAATGCAGATAGTCCTCGTGTTGCTTTGCTCGAAATTCAACAAAACAAACAGAAACTGAAGTACAACGGATTTCCAATCTTCTCTAGATATTTCCCAGTAGCCTAGTCTACAGATTAAAGTGTTTCTTTGGTTATCAAAACATAGAAGATGTTATATGTTCCACTTATGTTTGAATGCATATTTCCGGAAAAAGTTTGTATTGCGAGACGCTATAAGCAAACAATACATACTTTCTCATCATGAATCACGATAGTGGTTCATAATAGGGATCGTAAGGAACTGCATAAAACCCTAATAGAAAGTTCGGGAAAAAAACATCTTAAACAGTAAAGATTCAGTTCAAACAACACTTTAAAACCTTTACTTCGACTGTACACATATATAAATGCACAAAAAACCAAAAAAAAAGCGTATGTTAGACTTACAAGAAAAAAAAATCCGCTCAAAATGGCCCGTTTCTAATTCTTATTCTTCTTATTCTCTTGTCGGCCTACAACAAAAACGGCTGGGTATATTGCCCTTAAGCCTTTTGCAGAATATTAAATAAGATACTTCAAAGGTTGTAAGGGTATTTAAAAGTCATTTATTTTTTCTATATTTTATATAAACTAAAAATCGTCATAATTCTAGTGTAAATGATGTTATCATCACCCCTTGAAGTTAGCTTTTTTACAAATGTCTGGCGTTCCTTTAAAAATCTTAAGTACATGGTGAAAAAGGAATTACTTGCCAATAATAGACGAACATTAGATGACTGTAACAGAAATACTCAGTGCTTTGTACACTATGCAATCGGTGTCTTTAGGCAGCAAACCCCTATAATATGTATGAAGTGAAGGAGTAAAAGAAAAATCAATACATATAATATTAAATTTTATTACACATATTCGTAGAAAAATTACTTTAAAAAACACAAAGGTTTATTTAAAGCAACATTTTAGACGTATATGTTTTAGTTGAAAAGGCTGCTTTTCTACTGGTAAAATTTTATATGTGTTTAGTTGGGTTGTGTCTTAGTCTATGAATATATTTGCCCATTGTTATGCATTATATATAGATAATTTAATTAACAGAAACTATAAATGCTCACTGTATTCTAAAAAAAATCTCCATGATAATCTCCAGCTGCATTTTAACATTTTACATCTCGAACTAACACGACCACATAGTCAATGGCTATAGTAAATCATCATGAACCGTGTCAGCTACCTACTGGCTATGTTTATTTATCACTACAATGTATATGGTTAGCTACCACATCAAGTAATCCATAAAACAAAACAAAACAGAAAGCAAGATAAATAAAAAAATTGAAATTGCAGGTAGAGATCGTAAAAATGAAGGAAACAAGGCTGGAGATACTGCAGACACTATTTACTCAAACTACAAAGCCCCATTTTTGGCTCCATGCTGTTGCCTAGAATTACATTTGATGGAGTCAAAAATACGGATTTGTAGTTTGAGTAAATAATGTAAACAGTATCTCCAGCCTTGTTTGCTTACTTTTTGTTACGATCCCCATTTGCAGGTTCTTAAACTCCCAATTTTTTATTAATATTGTTAACAACATATTGAAACTTATTCACAAAATATGAAGTACGTGATACTTCATTGCACTTTATTTTCCATATAAAATATCAAAATGTTTAGAATCTACAGATTGATAGTTTGTATGACTGATGATAATGGTTTTCTTACTGGCCTGATATGAGTTTCCAATCAGAAAATTGTAATAACAGATTGTGTGTTGCAACACCACTTCCGACTCAGTAAACCTGATGAGCTTTGGAAAAATATGGAAGTCTTGAATTGTTTCGTTGACGTTTGTTTATTTAATAGTTTCTTGACACTCAAAGAGTACGACTCAGAGAATCTCACTGATCTACTGATTGACACTTAGCAAAGAAAGGAAATATTTTGAGTCGGTGTTTTCATAATACGATAACCTATTTGGAACAAAAATTTGAATTCGAAAAAGTCATGGTGGGTCAGCGGAATTACAACACCAAAATTCGGGGTTCGAGTCTCCACAATAAACAGCGAGCAGATGGCCCATTATATAGCTTTGCACGAAAAAAACAAACAACTACTACTTTTGCAAACATACTAGATAACAAAAAACATCTGCACGATAACACGTATTATTATTTATTGTTGAAAACAAACCTGATTTGATTATCTTTTCCATGATGGTAGCGTCGTATTAATTAAAAAGAACATACCTTATTTAGCCTTTGATTTTAGGGCCTATTAATTAAACTGTGTCCTTGAATTGAGACATTCGTTTCGAAGACTTGAATACTTTTAAATGTTAATAAAAAAACAAACAAACAAGGGGTATGATTGATACGAATACGAAATAGATGGTCTTAGGTGTGTCATGCATCATCCAAGGATACGTAACAGCCAACAATTTTTGGGTTTCATCATACACCTACTTCGATTTAACAGGTTAGACGAAGGTAACGCGTTGGCGTGCCCTTGTAAACTATCACGTTTTGACCCGATTTGAAGAGGGAAATAACACCACGCGCACTTTCTCAGAAATCCCGACTCACAGAAATGAAGAAACAGTTTGGTTTATGTAAATATGTATATATAACCCTTCACAGAATTTACGTTATTTAGTTCACATGTCATCAAAGCTTTAAAAAAAAACGTGTATAATTTCAAACTTTCTTCTTTAATATGTTTGTGTAGTTTAATGTTTGTATTTTTGTTAAGTACAAAACTAAACAATGGGCTATCTTTACCAACCACGGGTATCGAAACCCGAAAGTTAGGGTTGAAAGCCCTCAAAATATATATCTGAGCCACCCCGGGGGGGGCTATATATTTAATAAAAATCAAAAACTTCGCAACAAATGAAAGTTTACCTCAACTTAAAGAAGTGAGAAACTCCTTGCATTACCAGAGAGTCTGTCATGGCACATTACACAACGCATGCGTGACTTGTATCGTACCAATGGACTGGATTAACGTACAAAAGAGCTCCATGAAAACTTGTAATATATCGTGAATTTCTAAGGGTAAATAGCCACAACTGCTAATCTATAGATGAAACAAATTCCAACGGATATATATATATATATAGACAGCTACAGTACTGGTGAGACGAAGTCACAAATATTAATTGCAACTTTCGCTCGTGAGTCGTACATCCCCGGTAGCAACAACAGCAGTGATTGTGAGTGGCTAAGAGACACCTACTGCTATTGTATTGGAGATATGGCCAGATTTCGGAACAGGCTTTAGGTCACATGACCACTGCTCTAAGCCGCACCTATTATTCAACTTGTCAGAAACCCATTCTACAAGTTGGTGCGCCAGACCTAATAAGACAGTCGAAGACTCGGAACGAAAATGGTTAGCTTATACAAAAGAAGACTTTTAGGCTTAGCAACTGGATTGGTAAGTAAAAATGCTGTGTGGCGAGAATAACATTTATATTTAAATAACGTAAACTAAAGAGGAATTAGTGTGTATTTGATCAAAATTATAATAACAATAATGAAAGAAAATGTGTTTGTGATGATCCTCACTAGTGATAAATTACTGAAGAAACAAAGGTGTTGATTAAAATGATAAAATAATTTTACTCTGAAACAAACGTATTCATTTTTTAAATGATAATAACGTATTGTGGAACGTAAACAAAATGTGATTCAATTACTCTTATTGAGTTTGAAAGAAGAGAAGATGTGGCTAACAAACGGTGAAAATTAATAACATTCTGAGAAACTTTCTGTTTCGGTAGTAAATCTCGCGCTTATTGTTCGTATCAGCGGGAAACAGTTATAAACTTAAATATTTCTATACACCTTTAACTCCGGAGACAGTACAACTAAGTCCTGATTTCAATAATATTATACTTTAAATAACATGAGCTAATGCTCAACAGGTATTTCCTTTTCTTTTCTCTTACGTCCCCCCCCCCCGAAGTACCCTGTAATTAATTTTTTCAATGTTAATAATACATTACAGTGTTTGGAATTGTTTGGACTTTGTGTCACCTACAGTTGCATACATTGTCACAGTTTATACATCAATTTACTATTCTTACCATGATTTTGTATGTTTTATAATTCAGCAGATTAATTATTTTATCCAGCTTTCACTTTCACAGATAATAATTCAGTGGATTAACTATTTTTAACTCGGCTGTCACTTTCACCAGTAATGATCCAGTGGATTAACTATTTTACCCAGTTTTCACTTCCACCACTAATAATACAGTGGATTAACGATTTTACCCAGTTTTCACTTCCACCAGTAATAAATAATCCAGTGGATCAATTATTTTACCCAGTTTTCACTTCCACCAGTAATAAATAATCCAGTGGATTAATTATTTTACCCAGTTTTCACTTCCACCAGTAATAAATAATCCATTGGATTAATTATTTTACCCAGTTTTCACTTCCACCAGTAATAAATAATCCAGTGGATTAATTATTTTACCCAGTTTTCACTTCCACCAGTAATAAATAATCCAGTGGATTAATTATTTTACCCAGTTTTCACTTCCACCAGTAATAAATAATCCAGTGGATTAATTATTTTACCCAGTTTTCACTTCCACCAGTAATAAATAATCCAGTGGATTAATTATTTTACCCAGTTTTCACTTCCACCAGTAATAAATAATCCAGTGGATTAACTACTTTACCCAGTTTTCACTTCCACCAGTAATAATCCAGTGGATTAACTACTTTACCCAGTTTTCACTTCCACCAATAATATTCCAGTTTTACCGAGATTTTGGATGTATCGATTATTATCCGGCTGATTAACTAATTTTGGCATAGATTTCAGATGCTTCTTTTTCCTTTGACAAATCACACGGTTTTAACTGTAGTTTCGGTTTTTAAAAATATACATAGTTTAAGTTTTAAGTACACACCATACTGAAATTTAACAAATTAGTGTATGGTCAGTACATCCTCAAGTTTAAATACAGAATTGATAAAAATGTTTATTTTTTATTTAATTATTTACTTCGATAAGAAAAGCCCTGAAGTCATTCTAAAATGAAACACTAAACACATAAATTTTTATTTTAAACATTGACGAATTCTTATTCATATTTAACACAACATAATCGTAGGTTTCAGTTATTCTGAATTGCATATATATATATATTTCGTTGTTCTTTCTTCTTAAATGAATGATCACGTGTTTGTTCTAAAAAAAACGTTTACTTACGAAAGGGTTTATTTATTTTTTGTTCAAGCACAAAGCTACAAAATGGGATGGGTTTCTATGCTACGCCCATCGCGAGTATAGAAACCACTTTTTGGCGTTATAAGCCTTTAGTCTTGCCCCCCCCCCCAGTGGCACAGCGGTATGTCTGCGAACTTACAACGCTAGAATCCGGATTTAGATACCCGTTGTGTGCAGAGCACAGATAGCCCATTGTGTAGCTTTCTGCTTAATTACAGAGAAACAAACAAACCCTTAGTTTTAACTCTGAGTCACCGGGTACCTTATTAAGCGGTGTATTAAGATTACAATAGCTTCGTTTTTGTTAAGTCAGTTACAAAGATATTTGAAATTATTTGAATTCTTTGCTTTTTATTCACCCTTATTTAAGTTCAAATCTTTCTTTTATAGCTACAAAGATTACATAGTTGTGATGATCACATGCACCGTCTGGTCTCAGATACAAAATTATATACATGCGAAGAGAACAGTGATGCGTATTGTTAACTTTCATCGCTTTATTTTTTCCACCTCTAAGAACTGTATGGCTGGAGGCAGCAGTTAACTGTAAGTCGACCGTCTCACCCGAGTTCGCGCTCTCAGAGATTGTGGAATGTATGTGTGTTAAAATGGTTAAAAGTCAACAGGTCGTCAGTGTTCTACTACTTAAAACGACATATTTCGCAGAAATGACACATTAGCAGGTAAAAAGAGATATTCAGGTGTTTTCACGCGTTAAGACTAAACAAAAAACTAGATTCGAGACATAAGGTCACGCGACGTTAAACAATATAAAATGAAATTCAATTGTCTGGAGCAAAGAAATAAAAACTACTGAAAATGAGGCTGTGGTATTTAAGTAAAAGAAAAAATAAATTTTCTGTTGAAATTCGTAGATTACATAAGTCAACTGAACACTTGAACTAGCTACATAATGGATTTCATGGCCTGCAAAACGTACTCACACATTGGAAACTGTACATGCTTCCTTTAAAGTAAAGAAAAAAAATTAACATTAGTCCATTAAAATAGTTGTTAGAAGTCTTCATTCAAAACAAGAGGGAATCCTCAATAGCCACGGCACTTGAAATTCTTTTAGGCAGGATTAGAGTAAATTAATCTGCAAGATATTTTCCCCCCTTTTTATTAGTTATATATTTTGCGCTGAAATTCTGTTAGGTATAATTATAGTAAATTAATCTGCGATCTTTCGCTTGGTCAAATACCTCCTCAATTCAAAACTGTAATTAGATCTCAAATCGGTCAAGTGATGACGGAGCTATGAGCTAACGGTTTGTACTTGTAAAACAAAACAACAACAACTGGGAGACATTCTATGAGCCGTTATGACACGGCAAAAAATAATATGGATTCTCTTTTATATTTTCAGTTTGTAGGTGGCTCGGCATGGCCAGGTGGTTAGGGCGCTCGACTCGCAATCAGAGGGTCGCGGGTTCGAATCCTCGTCACACCAAACATGCTCGCTCTTTCAGCCGTGGGGGCGTTATAAGGTTACCCACTATTCGTTGGTAAAAGAGTAGCCCAATAGTTGGCGGTGGGTGGTGATGACTAGCTGCCTTCCCTCTAGTCTTACACTGCTAAATTAGGGACCGCTAGCGCAGATAGCCCTAGTGTAGCTTTGCGCGAAATTCAAAAACAAAAAACAAAGTTTGTAGGTTGGTGATTATATGCTGGATATAAGAAACGTAAACCCAACTGTTATTACTTTATTTGAGAATTCATAATTTTTTTTTTTTCTACAAGTTAAGTTTCAACATAGTACAGTAACGATCTAACGTAAAAACAAACAATATTTAGTAAAAAACAAACCAGAACCGATCATTACCGTTTACGATTTTGGTCTGTTCGTAGGTAGTAAAGTTTGAATAACATATATGTATATGTATAATGTTGTTTTAAGCTATATTCCACTCTTTTAATTCGGTAGTTAGCTAGAGGGCGCCTGACGTTAGAATCAAGCAAGTTTGTAGGAGTTCTAAATTTGACGTCACGAAAATCTAGAACATTGGGGGAATATCGAGAGTAGATTATAAATATGCCAATCAGTGTTTTGCTTTGTTCAAGCAGTGAATAGTGAATGAGTATTAAGTAAGTAGTTTCGGTCAGTCAGTTTTAGTCCAGTGAAGTATTTAGTTTAGTGAAAGATTTGGCTCAGTATTAGTTTATTTTTTACTTTAGTCGTGGTATTTCCGTCTGGGCGCCATTTGTTAAGTCATAGGCTTACAAGTAAAGCAGTTTGATAAACTTTAAGGAAGAAATAAAATCACTTGTAATCGTTACATGGACTAGACTTCGAATTATTTTCACCAGAAAAGACAAAAGAACCCGATCAACAAATGAACGATGATACAATATGATAAGTTCACTACCAAAATTGTATCAGTCATAAAACAAAACCAAATCTGATGGAACTTTTCAAGACAGCAGCTATACAACAATAATAATAATCCACTGTTTTTGTTATTATCACCCCAAATTTCAGAATACGTGTATTTTACGTAATTATTTTATGTGACTCGTTTCTCTCAGGGATAAGTTACTAGATTAGATCTCCGTATCCCCTCCCCCTTATCTCAGTGGTAAGTCTGACGGTATATGCCCCCCAGTGGCACAGCGGTATGTCTACGGACTTACAACGCTAGAAACCGGGTTTCGATACCCGTGGTGGGCAAAGCACAGATAGCCCTTTGCGTAGCTTTGTGCTTAACTTCAAATAAACAAACTGACGGTATATAAGGCTAAAAATCAGGTTTCGATACATGTGGTGAGCACATTACAACTAGCCAATCATGTAGCTTTGCACTTAACAACAAACAAATTATTCTAATTAGGCTTCACGTTACATTTCTATAAGCACGCATTTGCCCTTTTAGGGTGTCCTGTAACTAGAATTTAGAATTTCATTGTGTTTAAGTATTATAATGTCCAAATTAGTGAAGAAGAAAATAGCGTACTCTTAATGTTCAATAAGTATTTGTTAGATGAAAGCTGATTCTCCATGGGTACCATTTTTTAAAATTATTGTTCAGCTAAAGAAATTACGAATAACCCGGACAAGTTTAAATTTTCGGTTTTATTTTCCTCTAACTGCTTACTTGTTTGAAGTTATCAAGTACATAGCTTGTCCTACAAGTATGTGAAAATGAAGCTATAACTTAATCAACAATTTAGTGGTTCAGTCAAATGACACTGACTGACAAACTTTACGCTTTCGAAAAAAAGTTTATATTTCACTGTCTTATTCACCAAGTTTTGCGCATTAGATAAAACTATTTGTCTTTTTTGAATACGTAGAGTTGTTTAAACATTTGTTTAACAACAAGTAAAAGCTTGGAATGGTATTTGTCCATTTATCCGGTTTTAAAGCTCTAGTTTATTTAAATCTTACTTTTCTACATAACTGTCTAAAAATCAAGAAATTGTTAAAATACAAACGCTTTCCCGGAGGGCCAGGTGGTTAGGGCGCTCGACTCGCAATTTGAGGGTCGCGGGTTCGAATCCCCGTCACACCAAACATGCTCGCCCTTTCAACCGTGGGGGCGTTATAATTTGACGGTCAATCCCACTATTCGTTGGTAAAAGAGTAGC